TAGTGGCAGGTCCCATTTTTCGGTCCATCTTTGTACTATCTTTATGTTTCGTGCCAAACCTCATCCAGCTATCTTGACGTCATCTGCAAACAGAACACCGGGATTTTGGAGATCCCGTTCTAGGTCGTTAATGTATAGCAGGAGCAGCAGTGGTCCAAGTACGGATCCTTGGTGTACGCCGCTTGTGACCACTTCCTCCTCGGATGTGTATGCTCTTACTTTGACTCTAAATGTCCTCTGCGCAAGAAAGCCCATTATCCAGCTCCTGGCAAGCCCATCTACTCTCAATAATTAGGTGAATGCCATCTGGCTCTGCTGCCTTAGTTGGAATGACCTCCCTTAAGACCCGATGCACTTCATCTTCAGAGATCTCTACGTCAAGGATAACAGTTCTCTCATGGTTGCCGATAAGAGGCTCTGGTCTACCGTTGTCTAATATGTACACCCCATGGAAGTAGTTGAGGAGGGCTTCCGCCTTTTTTCGTTGGACCAAGTTATGTTCACCCTCGCGTCAACAATCGTGCCTACTTCCTTTTTAAGAGTACCCTTGGACTGCACATAATTGAGGTACGCCTTAGGGTATTTTTTGGCGTTGACAGCCAAGCGTTCCTCGTACCTTTATCTGCACTCGTTCTGGACTCTAGTGGCCTCGCGCCTTACCACCTTGCACCTTAAGTGAGCGCAAAAACCTCCCGAGCTTCGATAGGGCTGCCACGCCTCCAATTTGCGCCACATTGCTTTGTCGACACGCGCTCTCCACCAGGGAAGTTTGCCACGGCGTCTTACCCTTTTCTTCGCGTGCTACCTGATTGGTCAGCTCGGGCAGGTAGCCCTTTACGCGCTTCCACTGGTCTTGCACACGCTCTTGAGCCCTCTCAGCCAACCGGTTTAGCCGACACGCCCTACGCTGCAGGTCCTCACTGTCTGCCTTGTTCCATTGACGCCAAAATTTGTCAGGAGCAGGTAGTCCCTGCATTCTCATCCTCATCTTGAAACTCCCTTTGTTCATGATAGTCAGCTACCAAGAGTATATCCCCACCTCCTACCCTGTCGCCCGGCCGGTCTATTCTACTGCTTATTGAATAGTTCCTAGGTATTCGGCATCTAACATCATCCCTTGAGTCTAGCCATGTTTCATTTATCACGTTGGCGTCTGCCCCATATGCGCGAGCCTCCACTTCTGGCCACTTGTTACTTACACTCGCGGCACTGATGTATACCACGAGCAGAACTTTTCTCCCCTCTCCTGGCCCTGGGTCCTGGGGGAGAAAACCGTTCGCTCGGGACTTATATCCGAGCGCTGCGTCCGTTTTTTGGGACACCCATCTATGTCACCACTCTTGCGTGGCTAGCACCCCTATCCCGATGTCCTGGCTCAGCCCTATTTGTCTTGCTAGTAGCTACTGCTTTTCTTACCGACCTTCCCAGCGGCGCTTTCATGCCCTGCGGAGTCCCCATCTTGCTTGCTGTCGTTGCCAGTCTACTTACGGGTATCCTTGAATTGGGAACCGGTAGTCTCTGGGTGATTATTCTAGGGGCATTGAAACCTGGTGACTGTTGGCTTGTGGACATACAAGTCCTCTGCCGTGTCGGTTTGTCGTTTGNGGTGTCCACGGCCTCTACGCCGCGCCACCTGCCAAAGCTCACCACGCGTTTGATCGCTGCACGACCTGGTATTTTGGCTAATCGCAGCAGGTTTACCACATGATATCTCATTCCCTTCTCCCTATTCCGTCCTCGTCTCATGAAGGGTTCCAGAATACCCTCAATCAGTACGTTGCGGTGCATCCCTAAGGTCAGATCACTGCTCTTCTCCAGCCTTGTGAGTGCTCCGCTCATCCTAGCCTGGCTTTTAGCAGCCCCACTGTTTAAGTTAGGTTAGCTAAGCTCACGTTACCTTCGAGGCTACCTATTTGCTTGGTTCTTTTACCTGGCTGCGTAAAACAACAGTCTGGTTGCACTCTGAGACGGTGGAGACATCAGTATTGTCCTTTGTGACCCCCTTATCTTCCTTAATGCTTTTTTCCGTTGTGTTCGAGTTCCTTGATGTGGGCACTGCCGCCTTCTCTTTATATCCCTGACGTATATTTTGAGACANTCTGCTAAGTGCTTTTTCTTTATCAGTTCGCGTATGCGCGACTTGCATTCTCGGCACACAAAGATGAGGGTTTTGCGTTCCTGATATAGTGGATAATCTTTTTTACTAACTGCTGCACATCTGAGATGGAACCACCTTAGGCACGTGTCGCACTGTACTCCCTCTGAGGCAACACCCTTATTAGACCGCTGATTGCCGCACGTCGCATCCATGATAGCAGTTTAAACAGAGTAATATACGGTAACTAGCGTAGAAGAGGAAAATAAACTTAAAAGATATATAGCAAAGATAATCTAGAGAGCTAATAATTACCAAAGACAAGTGGCTCAGGGTGTAACAGGTCAAACCAGCAACAGACATATAATTGATTCAGCTGGGTGAAATATCGTCACTATGCAGATCTCAAGAGGTTTGGCTTTCCACTCTTCCACTTTCCGGTTTACCCGTCGGATAGTTTCGACTCTTTCTCCCGTGCCGTTGACATCCTGCAGCCTTCCATTCGCCGATTTGAGGTAATTTCCAAGATGTGACGCTTCACGCAAAATTTCGAACTCCCGCTTCAAGATCACGGAAAGAAACAAGAAAGAACAGGACAGGTCACAGGACTTACGACGGAGCCAGAAGCAGCCCAGTTTCTTGCATCAATGAGCTTGGGAGCACCACAGCGCTGCGAAAATTGTGTTACTTCGTTCACGCAGACGTGAGTGATTGTAATCCTTCAAAAGAAAGACGCACTTTTGATGGTTACTCGGAGTGACATTACACGCCTGAGGTTTTGTCAGGATCAAAGCAACAGCTCGCAGCCAACCGCTCCGAGCTACCCAGAGTAAGAGGTGTGTTGGGAGAAGAAAGATGACCTAAAAGTGGTGGTGTTGGATGTTGCGAAGTTTCAGTAAAATGTGGTGCGCAGTGAATAAAAAATGGAGCTGAGGAAGTTGGAGAAATCAAAGTGGAATATGAGATAAAGAGTTAAATGTAAGGAGGGGGACGGAGACGAACGAGCTATTAGAGACCTTAGGCCCGGTGTCAGATACAATCGGGGAACGCTGATGCCCGGGATGCGCCAAGCTTCAGCTTGAACTCGGCAACGGTTTTAGACGCCACTACCTCCTGAGGGAGTTTGTTCCATGTATTAATTATCCGGTGCGAAAACAGGCGGCTCTCAGGCGTTTGAGTGCCCGAGGCTTGTCTAACTTCATGCTATGTTTCCTTCTGTGGGGGACGTCGTTCCGCTGAAGTAGGTGAGAGAAACCCGTCAAGATACGGAAGCTTTCAATCAGCTCCCCCCTCAGCCTTCTCCGATTAGGTAAGAACAGGTTCAGCTCCATAAGGCGTTCGGCATACGTCGCTCCCCGGGGGTGCGGGAACATGCGCGTGAAACTTCGCTGCACCCTTTCCAGAACCCTTTGGTTCTTCTTCACAGCAGGGGACCAAGCTTGTACACAGTACTCTAGGTGCGGCCGAAT